GGAAAGATGGTTTCATGATGAAAGCAACAGACTTTAAGTCAAGGGACCTGGCTTCTCTTCCTAGCTCTGACACATATCTCCCTTGGGACAGAATTACAGGAAGAATTGCAGAGAACAATTAGACATTCATCTCACTTTGAAAATTAAAAAGGCACTAGTTTCCATCCCTGCCCTTCAAAATCTCTTACACTATCTGTGGTTTTCTACGGGTGAAATGCCTATGCTTTTGCCCCCTTCTTCTGAAAGAAAAATATCTGAATTAAAATCTCCTTGTAAAGGAATGGCTGACATTATTCAATTTATGTCCGTACACTAAAGAACTAAACAATACGGTCAATAGATATGAAGTAAATACAAAACTAAACAAAAGACCGTAACATGCTATAGAAAATTGTCTTTAAATATTTTAAAATAAGGTACTCATTATTTTAGAATCTGGTCTTGGACTCAACCTCTGCCATACTCAAAGCAAATTTTTTCCACCTGTCCAGCTGCCCCTCTCTTTTTTTCCTCAATAATCCCTTAAAGAAGTAAGGCCCCAATCCTATGACTGAACCCAAAGAAAGATTCCCTGTTCTCTAACACAGTGGAGTGACTTCTATGAATTGCTGTCAGGATTTGATAAGAACTGTAAAACATAACTAAGGATGGAGAAGTCAAAATTCCCCTCACTCAGAAAGCTGAAACTCTCACACAGAATTTCTGTCATTGGATTTTGCGGGGAGGAAGAAAACTGACAAAAAGCCTGTGGCATTTTGTAAGTGTATGCTTCTTGGCAGCTCATATCACATGCATGGCCTGTGAACTTTAACTTGCCTCATTTGCCTCACGCCTGTGAGTCTTAGCTTGCCAGTTAATTATTAGTACAGAAGTACCACTACTGTACAGTACTCTGTAGTAAAGAAGAAATACAGAAGCAGATTATGTTGTTGTAATGATGCTCCCATATCTGAATGAGTGCTTAAAGGTCTTGTACCAGCCCCCTGCATCAGCGCACATTTAAGTCTAAATGGTTATTTTCAGAATTGGGGAAAGACTATTTGAACTCCTAGATTCACTAACAATTTGTTATGGAAACTGTATTTCTTTGCAGACTCCTAAATCTTTCAAATAATTAATTTGCATTTTGTTTACCGTAGGACTTCATGGTACTGTGGTGACATTTGGAAGTATTTCACTTTTTTGTTTGTGAACATAACTGACAAAATGTATTATAAAGCACTGACAGAATTATTTCTGTTTCAGAGATTTACCAGTTACTAGGAAACTTGATTTCCCAAAGGCATTAAGAGATAAAGAATCCTCCGGAAAACTGGAAGTTTGAACATCAGCTAGCTGGCGCCCACCATCAGTTACTGTGGCTCCCTACTGTTTCTTTAGACTTGTCTTTTCTGATCAGACACGGATCCAGATCCATTCTCAGATCCAGATTCTCTTCTCATCATGTTGACACACAAGCCCACTTTTATATGCAGACTGAGATCAAACTCTGCAGATGTCTAGGCACAGCAGCTATGTCAGTCCACTAAATTAAATACGCCCAGGAATGTCCCTGGATTCCAAGACTAGCTGAAATGGAGGGAGCTACATCTTTGCTAGCAAAACTCCACAAACAGGGTTGTTGCCTATGAGCGGTCTATTGGGAATGATCCCTAGATTATTCTCCCTACCAAAGGATACCTTGGAATTGCTCAGGGAGAATGCTAGTGAACCAGTACTGATTCGTGACAGGGAACTTGATAACAGTTTGTTAGTGTAAATAATCATATTCTTATGTCCAGTTCCTGGTATGCTTGAATTTGCTAACATGGAGACATCCAGAGAGCCCAAGCTGGCTCAGCACCATGCTGTTACTTGTGTGCTTTAGCTATAATGGTCCATTGGTTTATATATGCTGAGCTCACCTCTCCTACACATTGTAGGAGACTGGAGTCATCTAGGTCAAACTAAAGCCATGAATGCGGAGGAAAACAATGCAGGTCATGGAGTTTGTTGTGCAGAGGTGCATTTTCAAGCCTATTATTCATCTCATAATATAGGTGCTACAGATGCTATAGATAGATAGGCTCTCAAATAAGAACTAGACCTCCCCTGTAGTTCTGCTTGCCCTTGGACAAGCCACCTGAGAAGACATCACTACACTCTGGAGCTGGGAAACTGAAGCTCAGAGAGGAGTAAAACAGAAACCCAAAGGATATATAAAACTGTTAATTGTAAGCTGACTATATAATTTAGTTAAATGAGATTTCAGCTACTTGTATTTGTCTAACTTTCAAACGGATTGCCAACATTTCTACTTGATAAAATACTGTTACTAGTTTTAAGACACTACAATGCTGTAATGCTTATCCCAATCTGGGTCACACCTAAAAAAAGTAATAGTAGAAACTTTCCAGTGATGAACGTTAATATGTGAAAATGTTATTGCTAGTAAAGCTTTTCATCTGTTCAGTCATGCATAATATAATTATAATCACTCTTGTTCAAGTGAAATAAAACTTCTACTCTTGGAAAAAAATAGTTCTCCTTACTTTATTGCTCAGAGAATTTTATGGTGCTTTTTATTATTAAATCCAGACCACTTCTATTTAAAGAGCATAACCAAAAAGCTGTAGGAAATACCATTAATCTTTTCACACTTTTGTTGGTTTTCCCTCAGAGACTGAAATATTATAATCTAGCAGAAGAAAAGCCAATTGTTAGCCTTCATTTTTGCTAAGCCAAATGCTAAGCAATTCATGATAAATCTATAAATCCAAAATAATAACGTCACTGGAGACTGACAAATTATTTCTGTGAGAGCAAATGACTGTAAGTGTTTAAAATGATGATGATGATGATAAAGGATCTAAAACAACAATAAGAGCAGAGATTGTTGGCAAAAAATATGATAGCCATAAAAATGCTACTTAATGAAAATAGTGAAAACTTTGAGGTTTAAATTTGAAATTATATATGCGTTATATAAATGTCATGTATATTTTGAAAGCTGGTGTCTTTCAAGAAAGAAACACAGTATTGATAAGTTGACCTATTCACATAAGAAGATGGAGGCTATTCTCAAGAGCAAGACAGGTATGACCTATTATTTGTAAAGGAGTGAAACTAACATGCTTAAATTTTACACTGCCTACATGGAAGGCTAGGAAAGAAAAACACTCCTGAAGTCCATGGCAATAAAACTAGGGCTTGACCATTTTGAAAAATAAATGCCGGCTGTGTTTTTGGGGTCATCATCGCTCAGGAAAACGAGCTTATTTAAAGCAATTAAATATATCTATGCACATGTGGACAAAGTATTTCTAAATAAACTATTCTCTGTTGAACTACATATGCATCACTATATATGTAAAAACATTTAAATATTATGGCGCTCTTGCAAAGCTGAGAGTCTAAAGAAGATCACCTTCTGCTGACACTTAGGTGAATAATTCTGATCAGGTTGCACTGTAGACTGCACAATCCAAATCAGTGTAATATTACTTTCTAAACAATCAACCTGGTAATTGGGTATTGATTATCAAGGCCAGAGTCCTTCACGGCCTTGCCTGCTTAAAATGGACATGAAATGTGACACATGAAACGACTGAAGGTCTTGCGATGTTGTGACAACTGCTAGCAACATACCGAAAATTCTTCCTGAAACTTTAGGTTGTTGTTTGTGCAAAGCTCTTCAACATGTTGCAGGAAGGATTTCTTGCTTATTGGTCTGAAAGTAATGACAGAGGAATTAGAAACCTACAGGGGATTTTTTTGTCATTGCTTTTAATTTTTATCTAACTGTGGTTTTATTAATAAACGGTATTTTCCAGTTCAATAGCAATGGATATTTATAGACAAAAAATTATAAATTGCTTATAGCATACTTATTTGATTTATTTTTGGTCACATAAAAATAAAACCATTCTCTCCCTCTATTGTTCCTTCTCATCAAATTTTTAAGTTGCTAGTGTCAACAGTACTGCTGGGTAGGATTGTTTTTTTTAGGTAACAGCATTCCAATGCAAGGTTTTGATATTAATGGAAGTTTTGTATAGTCATCATTGCATTCTAAAGTATATAATACCTCTTTGTCGCACAGAAAACATTTTATACATTGCAAGGTTTTAGACATATAAAATATTGCAGTGACCTCATTCTCATAATGACATGGTTTTTAAACCCCAAGGAGTTTAAATATCCCTGTATTACTTCCCAAGCTAAAACACAGACATGCAGGCTTCACCCCAGAGAGAGAGAAAGCATTTCTCCAGTTACCATGCAATTAGTCATGCTTTTATGATTTATACGCAGCTTGGAGTTTTTTCTAATAAACATAGAAGAGAGAACCACACATTGAGACTCACCAGTGACCACAAGATAAAAAGCTTTAATCAACTTACTTGATGGATTTTCTATAACTAAGTAACCTGCAACAGAGACTTCTGTTAAATGTAGCAAGCTGTGAGTTAACCAATATAGTGCATGTTGATAGGTTTTATATGAAAAATTTAAGTTGGAACCAGATTTATTTCTCAAATGGATTCAAATACTATAGTACTTCAGATACCTTGTGTGACGGTCTTGCTTAGTTTTTAACTCATGAACTGATAGATATGGTAGCAACAGTTTCTGTGATTCTCTTCAGATCATTTTACAATGTTCTGGGCTCATATGGGCTGGGGAAATCCACGCCTCCAGCACATCACTTAATATACATGGACACACTTCATTATGCACTATGCACTCAGTGTCATTCCTCTAAGGGCAATTTCAGAGAAACAGGATGGGTTTCAGCTGACTGAATGCTGACACCTATATCTGAGCTAGTCACTCTAGATTCCCTTTATAATCAATGAAGAGAAATAGACATGATTTCATCTCGTCTCAAGCGGATATCTAAAATAAGTCAAAGATGAATCATGGTATTAATGTGACTATTTGTGTCCAGTGAGCCTAGGATGACTTGCTGAATTTCATGTGCATGAAGTTGGGTGAGATAAATTTTGTTTTCAATGCCCACTCTAGGTAGCGTGGCTAAAGATTTGGGTTCCAAATGACCCTGTATCCCAGGGCATCCCTTAATTCTGGAAAGCTCCAGAAACCTACTTAGCCTAAATGACTTGTGGTTGCTCAGTATGTTTTTAAAACTAATGCTGGAGGCTTTACAGAAGCCCAACAGCTATGGCCAAGATTTTAAAAATGAGTGCCTGTTTTTATCTCCATTTTTAATACTGACCTATACCGACTACTGATTTCATACTGACTTCAGTTTTGTTTCTGGTCCATAACGATTTTAAAAACTGTGCTACACATTAAAATCTTTAACCTGATCCCATAAGCAGGTTTCATGAGGATATGCAACATAAGATCCATTCGCGGGGAATTTTCAGATGGCCTTGAAACCTGGTCATCAACATCACTTCTGAACCCTTTCCCAGAATGTCTCAACATTACGATTTGGAAGCCCAATTTCAGGCCCTCAGTCTCACAGAGCTTGTCTAAAAGACCAAGACAAAAAGTTTGAAATAATACTTTTTAAAAGTTAACTTGCCTTTTCAGAAAAGCCCTAAGTATACCTTTTACACGTCTCTCTCCAAAAATCATACATGTTTACAAACAAATGTTACAGTAACTATTCTATAGAACAAATACAAAATATCTACTACTGCCATAATTTTAGTAGGAAAGACAATAATTTGCTTTAAAAATACTTGATTTTATGAAGTTATTAATAAACATTTAAAATATAAACTACAGAATAAAATGTGATCAATACAATTGTTGAACAATTTATTATTAAGCAGCAGAGAAGTTAATTTCAAAGCTACTAATGATGCCTTTGTGGTACATACTTTGTAATGACAATTTTCTTCAAATACAGTGAATTGGCTACAAAAGGCTTGGGTTAGTCTCAGTAAAGCAAAAAGAAATTTAAGAATTCACATAAAAAGCCTTATACTCAGAATGCTCACTCAGACAATTGAAGGAGGGCTTTAGACTGAAAAAGTAAATAAGAAGGAAATAAAAAGCCAAAGCATGCAACTCTTCATTAATGGAGCATATTTAGAAATTTAGCTAGTACTTCTTGTATCACTTATGTTGTTTGTGTTACCTGGCAGACAAAACTACCTTCTAGTAACACTGGCAACATTAAAGAGCTAAAGTTTTCTCAAGGAGAAAGTATTCTAATTAACTGTACTGAGCACAATAGATATATTTGCCTTTGAGCAGAAAATACTATTTTCTTTAGGACTTTTTCAGGACAAAAGTCTAATCAGGCACTGCGAAGAAAAAAACACTTGTTTTTTTTCTTATGATTAGCCTGTCTTTACCATAGCAATGGAATAAAAGTCATCTCCCATTTGACCTCCTAGTAATTTTGGGGATACTGTTAGTTTTACAGCTCCTCTGGAGCTGACAGCAATTAGGGGCTTACTGCACTGTAGTTCAGTCATTAGGGAATAAAAATTACATCTATACTGCACATAAGCAACCTGAATATGCCATATAGTGCTTCAGTGCTGAAGGTACACAGCTCCAACAGCAATGAACTTAGGGACAAATAGTACCATTAATGCAAACTTACACAATAATACTTCAATTTTTACTTTCATTCAAAGCAGGGAAATGAAACACTGAAAAAGCACAGAAAATGAACTAAACAGTGCTACATATGGTGCTTTCTAGTGCATTTTTAATTTTACTAACAGGTGACTTCTTTCTAAGACATAATTTTATGCTACCTTTCACAAGCACTGAACACTTTTAACGAAATAAGGCACCTACAGTTTGACACTTCAATCTATGCATGGGTAACTAAATTAAGAACTTGATTTTTAGAACTACTGAATTCTCACACTTCTGTTGGTAGCAAGTACCTATTACAGTGCCTTGGCAGCTTAGAAAACAAGATTTAATCTAAATGCTTACATGTGAATTAATGTCTTACTTGAAGACAGTGGCAAAGATGCTGGCTTTCTTGTATCAGAAGTTTTAGAAGGGCTGAACTGTGCGCTCACCACTGGCTTACAAAGGACAGCTATGCTCAACTTCAGCATCAGACTTCAAAAATTAGCATATTTTTCTCAGTATCTTGTGATTGAAATATGTAGCAATAATCTTATAGTATTTCATTAATGAACAAATACTGGTCTATCAGTCTTTTTGTTCTCCATATTTGCCAATCTTCCGTGTAAAACATAAAGATTTAAATATCATTAGATCTTGATGAACACAATTTAGAATCAAACTATGAAGCTGCACATTTCCCTATTTCAATGGGACAATTTAAGATTCCCATTCCCTCTGACTTTGAAACCAGGAAAGAAAAACATTCTGTAAGATAAAGAATGCTTTATTGCTTTAAATCTGATTTTCTCTTTAAACAGTGTATTGTTTCATGTATGGGATTTTTTTGAAGTCTATCAAAAATCTGAATCCCACTCAGATTACTTATGATAGAGCTAGAAAGAAGCCATTTATTTGTGTTGGCAGTGGTAACTGAAGACCATATTGTCACACAGACTCAGCTTTCTCTCTGGGTCAATCATCTGAAATCCACAGGGAATTAAAACTTCTTCCAAATGGAAAACAACAGAAATGAGTATGTAGGCAAAAGGCTTAACTCATAAGCACCACTGACACTTCCTAGGAACAACAGAGGAACTAATTTTTAGCAAGTTAATTGAAAGCAATACGGAGCTTAACCCTTCCTAAATGTTCAAGGGCTATGGAAAGAGAACACATGTTCACTTCTTCCATTGCACCAGGACACATACAGTCTTAAGTCTTGTACTCCTGGGATACAAAGCTCAGAGAATCTCTTAGCGATAGCTGATTACTGAAGGGAAACTTGCTGAAGCAAAAGGTAAGGCAAGAGCCATGCAGGCTGGCCTAGAAAAGTAATGTGTGTGCAGAAGTGTTGTCTCAAGCATAGACACCTAGTGATTGTAGAATACACAGGAAAGGTGAGACCAGACAGTAATTTTATATACAATACTTTAATACTTTTTCCATAAAGACCTCTAAATGTCTGGTACTTGCAAGGGTTACAGGGTCTGTAATTAAGGAATATTTCTGTGTTCTTCACTTGCCTGACAAACTATCTTAAAGGGAATGAAACAAAGGCTTTAGAGCATCCACCACAAGGTGTAACTTGTGAAGGAAAGCTTTAAGAAGCAGGGATGCAGATGACTTTATCCTTGCAGCAGAAACCACTGTGAAAACAGGGTGTCAGGTAAGACCTCTGTTAGGTGAAGTGTTTTTTTTTTCCTGCTATTGCTTGTCATATCATCTGCATCATCAGTGCAGACCACTGTATGTCCTAAACGTTCAAAGTCTGCATTTTAAGATTCATAAAGCGGATCTCATTTTCCACGGAATTTGGTAGAACATAAACCCCTGAATGCCTTCTGAAGCTAGGTGTCATTAATTATTTGTCTCACAAAAGCTTTCTGGGAGATGGCATATATGTATCAGCCAGTATTACTTATTTTCAGGGTCTGATGTTTTTCAAGTAACTTTTTTTCCTGATGACCATTCTGTCAAAAATTATTTCATGAGTTTCTCGATTTTAAAAAATGCTGACTCAAAAATAAGTTTCAAAATTGGCAAAATGGGATGTTTGGCATGTTTAAATTTGGTATTTTTTCTCTTTAAACTGACTTTCCATTTAGTAATGAAACTTAATTCATACTAAAGACATAGTTATAAAATGTATGGAATAAAATGTTTCAATTTAAATATACTGAATGTCTACTGAGTTCTGGTTCATTAAAATTTGTCAAGTTTTTGAATTTTTGCTGTGTTGAGAATTAAAAAACTATTTCTGAAGCCTTATCCTTACAGAATAGGAAAACTTTTTCTGCCCCTTTCTACTAATTATGTGGTACCATCAGTACAAAGTTTCTGAGAGCATGAGCCCAGATCATAGGGCTAAATATGAGATGTCATTACCCATGTCTGGGTAAATGAGGGAAAGATAGTCAAGAAAGATCTCAGGGAACAGGCTAAAATATCTTGGTTCTGTGGATGAACTGTGCCAGCCTCAGGTCCATGCCTTTACTGATTTATAGTAGCTAGCATGACATATAATACACCAGCTGAGAAACGACAAAACAGTTGGTTTCCAAAGCATGTCCTTCCAGTGAGCTCTGAATGGGACAATTAGTAGGTGCAGAAAATATCTGTACTGGTCCTTTATCACCTAAGATTTCAACATAAACTCTCTACCACCCCTTCAGGGCAGAAAACCTATTTAGTTGGACAAATGAAATAATTTCAGCTCATTAAGTCCCCCCCCAAAATTAGAAACAAGTTATCCTGGAAAAGCAATCTGTCCATCTATTTTTTTTCTGATAAAATTATGAGATGTCATGAATTGAAACTGGCATTCTGCACCCCAGGAAGCTTTTCAAACACAGCTGAGACAGCTGACTAAATGCAACCAACTCATGAAGGATAAGAAAAACACATGACCTGAAACTGACTGATTTCTGAGCAGCTATCCCATGAACGCAACAGGTATAAAGTTCTTTTATTATGTTAACTGTGGAAGTCTGCAAACAAGCAGCATGAATATTTTAGACCTCTGGGTTTGCAGTAAACTGCCGTGTTGCATACTGCCATGCTTCTACCGCCTTCTTGATACAATTCCTCACCGCCAGGAAGGATTTATCTATGTGAAAGACAGCATTAGAGTTCCTTAAACTCTCTCCTTTGGCAATAAGCTATTGACATTACCAGAACAGAATGTTACACATAGTGAAACATTCTTTAAAACTTAAAAAAAAATCCTAATAAACTTAAAAGCTTTGAGCAGAGCAAGGATATCTTGTCATTTCATTACTGTACATAAGGTATCTAGTTGTTGATTGATTTCTAATAGAAAAGACGGCATAGTCCTGTCCTGAGGAGCTCTGATTTAGTGCCCACACTTCAGACTTCCACAATTTGTCATAATATCCAACAAAGAACCTGAGCAAGGACCCTGCTGTAGCTCCACTGCAGCTATTTGAAAAATAATAACCCAAAAGTTAGCAGCTGCCTCGACTTACAAGAATGGCCTAAGACCAGAGTCTTTGCCAGTGGCTGTAACTGGAATGGAAGAAGGAGAGGGAAAAATATAAATGGAAGAACATGGCAAACTGCAAGCCAAAAATGTGAAATTGATTCATTAAAATAAGGGGTGATGTAACTAAAACTGCTGAAGCACTGTTCAGTAAAGGCCTTGCTGTGCATAAATCACATAACAAAGTGCACATAAGTATGAAATATTATCGTTTGTAATTACCCTGAGGAGTTTGAGACTGTACAAATGCAAACCGCACATAATTTAGAATGAAAAGAGGCAGAATGGTACTCTTCAAACTGATACAGGATTTGACCACCTGGGTATGTTGCTGAGATTGTAACGGCATAAGTATAAAACAGCTGTAGTATATTGAGAACAAAAGGCAGTTGAGTAAAAAGAGAACTTCTCTTGAATACATACAGTCTAACTCCCAAAGGAAAGTATACAGCATGTTTCTTATGTCTCGTTTGCATCACATTTGCTTCAAGGATGGAACGTATATATCAGTGTTATATTATCATAAATTGTTATAACTTCCATGCAAAAATTGCTCTGATTTATTTTAAAACAGTTGTGGCACTGTTGTACCTTAACACTAGGGACTTAAAATAAACAGGATTTCATGAAGACAAATACCTCAGTTTTTCATCGGAATAGCTGCAAAGATTGATATTTCATTTTGGTTAACTATATCACTCAATATAGCATGGTAGCACACAGGTTAAGAGAACAGAACGGAAAACACACCATGTTGCTTCAATAATACAAAAACTTACTGGATGACAAATATCTCCTTGCGTCTAAAGAAAAATGAAGAGTATCTGGAAGTAAAACCCATTAACACTTTAGTACATAAACAAAATTAGTACTAGTCTTACTCAGCTAACAGTTTGGAAACAACACCGTTTTGAAGATCCATCAAGATCATTTATACGAGTTACAGTTATCATGGTGCAATGGCCTGGTTCTGCCTCCAGAGAACATATTCCATTATTATTAGCAGGTACTAAACAAAGTTATCTGAATGACATGTGACCCACACAGAACATACCACATCCATTATGTCAGTGATTTCCAGATGATTCATAGTATGTTTTCTCATCTGTTACAGCAGCCATTCCTGTGTGCACTATTTTGAACAGGTTTATACATGCAATCAGCTTATTCTGTGCCACACACATAGACACATACACACTCAAACAAAACAGGTCAACAGCTACAACCTTTCATCTTCCAGCTATTCCTAGTCTGTAACAGTAGGATGCCTGACTGCGAGGGCAAGACTATTTTAGGCTTCTCATCTTTAAGGAGATTGCCTACCACAGTGTTTCATCTGTGACACAGCAGGGGAAAGAGAGGAAGGTAAAGAATGTTCATCCAATGTTTCTAACTCAGCTGGATGTCATATATTGTTTAGAATTATCATTATATTTATTTGGTGAATAACATCTATATTTATGGCAATCAGAAAGAGCACAGTGTGTTTTCCTTCTAATAAATATCTGTGACAAGATTCTCTGTCACACAGAAAACATGAATAACCTGGACTTGCTACATACTGTTTCAAGGTGTGGATGTCAGGACAGCCAGTGTGCTGAGCTCCGCAGAAGCCCAGCTGCTACGCAAATTCCTTTGTGAAAAGAAGACTTTCTAAATGTCAATGAAACAATGATATATGTGTGGTTGAATTAGCTAACAGGTACTTCTCAGGGGTCGGACTCTTTTAAAATGCTTACATAGCTTTGCAGTCTACATAAAACACTGTATCAAAAATACTCAGAAATTCTGCATGTTTAAAAAAACGTAGCCCTTTTTCTCCACCACAATTAAACAGTGATTTGCACTTAGATCTTTATCTTGTTGTAAAAAGAGCTGAAGATTAAGTGATTTTCTAAAAGCTAGTGAGAAGTGTCTTGAGGATGGAGGTCATTCTTTGAAAGAGGATCTCAGTGACCTGTGTAAATAAGAACACCACAAACACTTCCAAACAAGCAAAGGTCAGAAACGGGTCATGGCTACAGACCCTTTGGACTACTGTTTTGCCTAAGGAGTACGCTTACCGTGTAAATCTCTCATCCTTCAGCTCCAGGTCTGCCACTGTGATCAACTGATCCAGTTTGAACTTAGTGTCAATAATTTCAGCATCTCGTGGGGAGTATGTGCCCCCCTCTTTTTGCTTTTGCCGAATTCTAAAGAGAAAATTGTAGTAAAAAATAAATAAGCAGAAGATTTATTAAGATATACATATCAATACTTTGATTACACAGGCTAAAAATGAAAAATGGTTGCCAGAAATCCTTATCTGGCCTTTATTCTGCTCTCACTTCCAATGGTGTAATTTAGCCAACTCTGGCAGTTTCATTGTCTAAAAGTCATATGAAAAGAATCTAGCCTGTATATTCTTTTAGTTTTCCTATATAAATTCTTTGGCAATGCCTTAATGGTCCAGCTGAGTAAGAACAGAACTTCTGCTGAATGAGCAAACATCATTTATGCAATACTCAGTCAGCTTCTGTAAATGGGCATTTGTTCACAATTTGAACTAGAGGCCGATTTCTCTTTCACATATAAGACTTCAGTGTATTTACTTGCTAATTTAGTAGTAGTAAGACAGCAGTTAGAATTTAGGGTATTGAGTTCATATCAACGTAACTGTTCCCCACAGAGGTGACAGTAAATAAGGTTAGCCTTCCAGCTAACTTTGGCCAACAGAGACTGATCTGTACGTTTCTCTCAAGTCAATGGAGAGGTGACTCTGAAAGGCTAAGACAGGTTTCTGCTCTGATTCACCCTCTGGAGAAGCTTGTATTTCTTGTTATTCTATGGAGATTAGCCTCACTAAAGTTAGCCTTTGGGAGTCCATCCCTAAGTTTCTACATTAAAAAACAGGCAATAGATTTTGAGATGATAGGCTGGTTCCACCTATAAGACTGTTTCATTTCTTTATTAAGACATTTTTGAGGGTTTGCAAACAAGGTACCACAAGGATACCTAAATCTCACCTTGCAAAAGCATAGACTGCAGCCACCAGAAGAACAACTGACAGTATACACAAAGTAACAGCAAGTATAACTTCCACAGCTCTTTCTGACAGTCCTTCACCTGCAATAGAAAGTGGGTAAGACTAGGCCCAGAAATCTAATATTTAATAGCTTCATTGTCATGTTGACATCTCTTAAGAGGGAGGAATCAGACAGAGATGAGACAGAAAGACACTATCTTCTCAATACAACTGCATTATATGAGTGGGAGAGCTGCTAAAAAAGAAAAACGTGACAAAACAAGGAACAATTTATTGAAAGGTTCCTAAGCATTTTTATTTCTGTAACTTATAATGCTAATGACATATATGTATAGCTATACATGCAGCTCTTCACTGGTGCTTTTCCAGTTTACCTATGCTAAACAGGTTAAGGTAGGTTTACACTGCAGTAATATCAGTCTGAGACTATATAAAACTAGCCTGAACTGAACTTCTGCTTCAGCCTCAGTGCAGCCAATCAAGAATAAGTAAGTGCTCTAACAGCTAGGAATAATCAAACTCCAAAGGTGGAAAAGGTAGACCCACAACTGAAACGCTGTTTCAGCTCACAGGTTCACAGCCATCATTCACAGACAGAAATAAAAGATGCTAATGCTTGGAGAACTCTCCTCAAGGTGCTGGAGGAACCCACATAACGACCCGCTCTGAACTGCCTAGGTTAATCCGCCTCCCTGCTAACTTATGCCCTTTATTCAAGTGGGAATTGGTGATATTGCCAGGAATAACCATTAGCAGGTCAAAAGTTATCATTAAAGCCTTTATGATAAAAAAGTAAAGGGGTTGGAATTCTAATCAGTCCTTACAGCTGAGGATCAAGGTTCATTCAGAGACAGATAATCCATTTAGATTAGTTCTAGACCTCTTTTCCAACAAAGGCTCCTTTGGTGCTGTATTTCTGACGCTCGCTTAATTTCCGATCCCTCCTGGTAATCCTGTCCCCATGTCAAAAATTTTCCTTAGGTACGTGGTGAAAACAAGAATAGCAAGAGATTACTGCTGCTGGTATTCTTCATCTATGCTGGTATTCTTCATCTACACTTTTTGATCCAGTGAGAAAACTTAGCCCCTGCCTGTCCTCCAGGGAGGACAGAAAAATGTGCTGTTTTCCTGCTGTATGTAACTGAGATTTCCCCACTCAAAGGATGACATCCTCCCAAGGACACTCTGGAAAATACAGGAATCTTGGCTTCAACTCCCTCAAAAGGCCATCATTTTTGGATAGAGAGTATACTGCAGATGATCTGGACTGCACGTACTTCAGAGGACATGATGACAATTCAAAATGATCCTGACTTAGCTAAGAAATGGTCTTCAAACAATATGATGTAATTTTTTCAGATGAGATGCCTGGTTCTACACACAGGCAGGAATAATCAGCTAAATAAACACAGGCTAGTGAACAGTAGGTTAGATAGCAATTTATCAGAAGAAGGTGAGAGATTATTGTAGACCACAAACAATGTAAATGAACAATATCATGTACGAAACGATGAACATAATCTTGTGATACAGAGCATTAAGTATAGTTTCCAAAACACCTGAAATAACCCTTCCACTATATTCAGCATCGGTAAAGCCTCAGGTGCAACACTGGACACTGCAATGTAAGAACAATTTAGGCTGGAGGATGACAACAGAGAAGAACAGCAGGTATTTAAAATGCTGTTGCAAAGAGGATAGGAATGAAAAGTCCCCTGCCACTCACTGATCTCTGCGGTAGTGTACAAGTGTTAATCACGTGTAAAAAGAATAGAAAAATTTCCAGAGGAACCTCTACAACAGTTCTATCTATATTGCATTAAACAACAAAGTCAATGTTAAATCCTACAGTTAAGACCAGCCCAAACATTGCCAACGTTATTAAATAAACCGGAGCTGGCAGAATACCCCAAGACCCACCAAAAATAAAGAAACATATTTTCTCTTATGTCTTAGTAACTGGGAAGTACTACATCTCTGTAGAAATGATTAAGGGCAAGGGGAAGGAGACAAAACAGCATACAGAGTAGGAAAAAACAGGTATTATAAAATCAGCACGCAGTCCTCACATCATGCTGCATAATTTTGAGGAGCTGCAACTCAATACATGATGATGACAAATTGTAATAATAAGATATCGTAACGTAGACATTTATGCATAAGACAATGTCTTACGGATACCCTATTTTGATATTTTCTATCTCTTAGGCTTTGCATTCCACATGAAGAAAGACCACACTTGCACTGGACTACTAGGTTCCTCACAATGATTTGCTTAACTAACTATCAGAGTTTATGACAAAGATCATAAGCTGCCTTGTACGTACTACAAATTTAAACGAGTGTTTGTTACCACATCTTAATAATGTCATGGAAAAATCCTGACCTTTCTTTGTAGTACAGACATTATGTTTGCAATGTCAGTTATGAGTTATAAGGAAAAAACCCACTTCTTCAGCTCAAGAGGAGAGTGTGGTACTCAAAGAACGGCTGAGTGGGTAGGCCCTGTTAAAATGTATTCTTTACTATATTTAAAAAAGTCATTGTTGAAGCTGGATATGCTATTGAGCTTCTGCTTCACTGTTCCTCCCCAGCAAAATTCCTACTGCTTAACAAAAGCATCAGATGGCTGCCAATTACAGAGAACTCTCTTACAGGTCTTCCACGCTTTTTCTGTTTCAAACATATTTAATGTACAATATTAAATTGCACAGACACAGGGTAAGCTTCCTGGTTTTCCAGATCAAAGACCTACCTATTCTATAGTTAGGCTATGAAACAAAAATAACACATGGAAGTTCTTTAAACTGTCATGAACAACTCAGCCAAAATTCAAATCAGTGTTTTATTTACTAAAATGAAAATGTCATCTTGGAAAAACACAAATTTAGATGATAATTACAAAAGAGGATCATTGATTTATAACAAAATTATAATTTTGATTTCAGGGAGCAAAAATTTCTTCTGAAAAGACACTGTTGTTACAAGAATAGAAGCCATTCGTCACAGAGATATCTAACTATCTAAGCTACTGATCTTTCCAGTTATCCTTTCCAGGTTGTGCTTCTAGTGTAGGTTCAAAGTTCATATAGCCCAAGTATGATCTATAAGGAACCACTCGGATAAGGTTCCTCAAGTTATCTGTCTCAAAAGAAAATGTTTCCTAAAGAATCTAATTTCCTTTATTCACCTAACATGGCACCGATAACAGCATTGCAGGTGCTGTATCTTCAAGGCCACTCAACTGTATCACTAGAGATCACTAGTATCAATCATCTGCATCACTAGTGATATATGAATAAGATATTAATTTCACAACAGTATTGTAAGAAAGCATTGCAGGAACTTTTAATCACTTGTCCCATGTATATTTTTTCTCTTGTTGGATAGGCTCTGAAAGGCCAGACAAGAGCTTGCTGTAGAGCCCATTTTAAAAGCAGTGCTTAACGTAGCATAGAAGGCACTGAAATCAGTAACGGAATCAGGATTCCTGGATATCTGAGAAACTTATCATGGCTATTTTTTTCCAGTTACATTCTGTTCAGCGTACAGACCGACCTTGCCTCTTTGTGATCTATACCAGAGGATAACATGTCACAAGTTTTCCATAACAGTATAGAAGTGCATGAATTACATCATCTGCCTGTCACAAATTTCTTTTTTTGCTTTAAGCCTTTCAGGAGTTTTCTGTCAAAAGGGTGCACAGAGGACTGGAAAAAGTCAGAGTCATTTCAGGCATAGTTATTTTTCCTGAGGCAGTCTTTCCTTCACTGCTCAAGCTATTTGTTTCACTGGTGTAAAGTACCAGAATCTTAAAGACAGCTTTTGTGTTGCTTTTCCCAAAACATTCAGGGCTAGAGAAACAGTACCAGCTCCTCTCAGAATATTCAGTTTGTGAGTTACCATTTCAGAATTTTCAGTAACAGATTTCAGTAACACATTTCTAAGATGGGTTAGATAAATATGGGAGCTCATATTATAGAAGATGAGCGCCAAATGAAAAATATGGGTCCACTAAAATTCCTCGGGGAACTCACTCAGTTGTCTTGGGTCCCTTTTCAGAAAGTCAGGGATAATGCTTAACTAAGTAAGTTTTGGCTTACAGATTTTACCAGGATCTGCTTAGAGAATCTTCATTCCCACTTTTGGGGGTGGATGAACTTGGAAGAGCTTATGCTGGGTTTGAGACCCCCCATAACAACTGCCCTGTTGGCCAATAACATTAGAACCAGCTGGGTTCTATTAGACAATATTAACTTAAAATGAACTTTATCTGTATCTTAAGGATAAAATGCTTTCATGCTTACTTGAACCTGAAGGGCCAGAGGATCATGTCCTCAGCCAAGCTGCCAGTAGAAGGAATGATCTGCAGCTGAGAGGTTTTCTACACTAGGTTCGCACTGGGATAACTGTACCAGTACATCCAACAGAGAGGGAAACTGCACAACCAGTATAGCTTCTGACAATTCACCCAGTCAAGATGAGCTATCCTGGCAAAATGGTATTTTCATTGGTATAAACTGAATCTCTGCTAATGAACGCTGTCAATATTGCGCTCTCATTTGACAGTCCAGGCTGAGGTAAGACCCCTTGACCTCCTCCAACTAAAGGACACAAAATGGAATTATGGATTGCCTCACCAGGCACCAACTCTTCTGGTTAAGCTAGGTCCAACAAAAATAGAGATTATTTATTTCAAGGAAATCAGTCCAAAAAAGAAAGATGCAATTGACCAGATTCTTTGGAAATAGAGAAATATTTTAACAAATGACACTCTGCTTACCTAAGGTTTTTACAGGGTCAGAATAGTCAGAATCTGTAAACTGTCCCTTAACATTAGTTGCTCTGAACTTAAATCTGTAAAATAAAAACAAGAAAACTAATGAAAAAAGTTATGTGTATTTTTTTAAGTAGCAGCTCATTTAGAAACTGGTCACTATTTTCCAGTTTTAGCAAAATACAACCTGGAATCGTTATCCACCTATAAAATGACATTATGACTGACATCAAGGACTCAGTGTCATTATGTTAAATGTAAAATCAAGCTGTATAAAGTGGGTTAGTGATCTTGAATTTGGGCTTGTTTAATTTAGGGATCAAGAAAGATTTTTTGTTACTTTAATCATAAAAAAAATATGAACTCTCATATTTACATTTCAGCCAAAAAGTTTGAAATTAAGAAATGCAAAGATCACTTCAAGCTCCACCTTCTCTTAATTGAATTGCACTTCTTATATGTTTGTTATAAATATATATTTCACATAGATCTTTATTTTGGACAAACACAGAGATAAATAACGGACTCACAGGTACTGCTTTCTTGGTTTCAGTGGGCCATTGCATATTTTGTCTTGACTGCCTGGTATCATACATGTAGTATCAGCACCTATGACATATATCTCTTCTTTACCACTGAGACCTTCCTCTCTTTCTACACAAGGTGGGTTTGGAAAACCTTCATTTGCAAAATATGGCCTTGCTCTGTTGAAGTAGGCATCATACCACTTAGTAACATTCCCATCATGCTGAGCTGTTGTCAGGAAAAGAAACAATCAGAAATAATTTACATTCTAAACAGATTGTAACCAAATAAGGCAAATAAATAGATAATTTTTTTAAAAGGCTTAGCAAGCAATGAGTCATTCACACAACTAAGGCTATATCTGTATTTGTATTGAAACCCAAACGTCCTCATTATCCACACTACCTATATTTTGCTAGCTCAGAGTATGTTAACTGAACCACAGCTAGGTAATTTCAGAGATAGAGCCTGTCTCAAACATGAGCTCTGCCTTTAGAGGACAGCACTTAGGCAAGCTACATGACTGTGAAACAGCGAGGCTAGCAAAGACAGTAGAAAGTGTTTATTCTAAAGAAAGTAAAGATTGTTTTATAAACCAAATGACTAGGTTCTCAAAAGTGGCCACTACCTAGCAACTCTGACAGGAGAAAAATCTTCAACACGCCGATTAACATGGTATTTGCATACCTATCAGTTCAAGAGAATCTTCACAGCAGTAGCTGTGAAGCAAGTGCCTCCAGGATTAGTGCTAAGATACATTCAGAAAAATGTCTGTGAGCATCTATACCACTTAATGTGAATGTTTTACATCCATACTTTGAAACTAAGCAAAATAAGGGAGTTAAATACCTGGAACTTGTCTTTTTTAGGTAAAGTAAGCCTGACTATATGATGTCTGATTGTGAAACTCTCACTCACATTAGTAGGCAATTACTCAAAGCAGTACCATGACACTGTTCATATGAGCAAATGTTCATCAGCCCGTAAAAGGCTGATGAACATTTAGAACACATTCTAACCCACAGTGTACAGAGAGGACTTATGTAAATCCCTCTGGCCCCATTATGAAATGGAAATATCAACTGCACATGACTGCATTCTTTTACAGGCAACACTAACAGCAACAGGTGAAAAACCTTCCAAAAAGTTTTATAAAATACATACTTACATTAGTTACATTTCACAAATGTCAAATGCATTTATTTTTTCAAGGGAGTAAGAAATACAGAAAACATAATGATAACAACAGGGCCAGAATAATAATGGTGCCTTCAAACAGCATGGATAACTTTGCAAGTGTTTCCAGTATCCAGTACCCAGCCCACAGACACTGTGGAAGCAGATACTTCTCCCTTAGTACTGTTGCCACAGCTAAAGTGATTTTGTTTGCCATTTTCCAACATGAAATTTCTGGCACCCAATACAATTTGTAAAAAGAAAAAGTTGAGCAAGATGAAAACAAAGAAATAAAAAAAACTTGATAATAATTTTCAAGATAACATAGAAAATTCTTCTACCTCCAGCTTCCGCAACAAGAACTTGTATCTTCTTTATAGGACCGTGATCATCACTATAATAACATATTGGCATTCTGATAGTAATCGTCGTAGCTGTGACAAGTAAGGCCCCATTGGTATCATAAACTGGTGCTGGTTTCTTATTAGGCCGTGGTGGTTCTGTTTTTAAACAAAGATATACCATAGAGTTTTGTTTTCATTATTTTTTCCAAGTACGTTGTTCAGGCACATAGCTGTATTATGCAAGACAAATCCTTATAATATCACTCAGATTTGAATAGCAAATGATCAGTGATATGCAGCAAAAGTAAGCAGTGCTGTTCAAGGTTTTAAGTTACGTGCTCCTGTTTCTAGGTTATGCAGCCTCTAAAGAAAGGACAAAGGCAAACAGATGCGCGCTCACAGGTAAAGCAGCATTTTCCTCAGTGTTTATAGAGATCTCAGTGTCTCAGCACTTCATGAGACATACCTTTGATGTCCATAGTTATTTTCAGTTGAATTTTTGGCCCTGCACCAGCACCATTAATTGCATACACCTTAAAAAAAATGAACATTTGTTTTAGTGAGTACTCGTACTAGCTTCAGATTAGCCTAATCTGGATATATTTGAAGGGACAATGAATGCTAAAAATCTCCTTTTACGTTATTCACACTATCGCTAGAACATATCCTATATTTCTTTACAGTTCTAAGTACAGTAATATTTTATCCTTTGTAACATAACTCTTACAAAAAGAGGAAAAACAAACCAGTTATTTTTCCTTCCCTCATGCCCTAATCTCTGATTATTTGAAAGGACTACATGCACATACTTCTAGTGGGCTTCCTCTACAGAACTGGACCCTTCATCCAAGCCAAATGCACAATGCAAGCTCTGGAACCAAGAGGTGGATACAACTTTGTGCCTGAGATGATGTGCTTTACTAGTACTTGAACTAGTCAGCCAGCTTACACAGCTACCACTGGTGATGTCTCCTGTTCTCGCTCACTCCAGCCTCTTCATTGTTCGCTTCTTTCCTCAGACGTCTCCTCCTTCACACCCTAGCTAGCATTCTTGGCATGAAAATCTCCTATTTAGCCTAGGTCTGCGTTCACGGTTCAGATTAGTCTTTCACTGATATCAAAGAAAAATTCCACAGAAAAAATACCAATTCTTACACTGACATTGTATGTATGCCCTCCTTTTAGCCCTTCTATCACAGCAGTGACTGACTGATCCGTTTTATCAATGACACTAAGGTTGTGGATCTGGATGGCAGCAGGGTCATCTTCATTGTAGACCATAGCTTGATACACCTGAATATTCCCATTTGGTTCAGCTGGTGGCACAAATGTTACTTGGAACTTTGTTACTTCATCTGGAATCTTCTGAAATGTTATGTTGTTAGGTGGGTCTTCAGGCACTGAAATAAACATTTCACTTAGGTAACAGTTTACTATTATTAGCATTGGAGTAAAAACGGAAAGGTTTTACATTATACTTTGGGATATTGCTATTAAATCACTGATTTTTTTATTTTTACTGAATCAGTATTTCAAATACTTATCACTTATGTAAATATTTGTAAAGACAATAAAAAGTTAAATATATTCAGTGAAATACACACTATTCTTGATGATAGCATTTAATGCCACAAATATTAAAAATAATTACTAGAAACCTATTTTAAATAAGACCACCTCATAATAACCCCCAGTAGTTTCTACTCAGGAAAGTTTCTTCTGAGCAGCTATCCAGAAACCTCCAAGGCATTACTGTGCCTTGAAATACATCTTGAGGTAAACAAATCTTTTCATGGACTGATAAGCAAGAAGCAAATTTCAGACTTGTGTACCCTTTCTGAAAACTCTCTGTCAACACAAGGCTCCCTCCCAACTTGTGATCAAGCCACCACGCTCCTAAGAGTCTCTGCTTATCACAAATAACTCTTCAAGGAAAGAACACTTTCCATCCGCTGATGCCCAGACACATGTAGGGATCCATAACAGGTCAAACAAGTGTTGCAGATTCTGGCTAGAAACTTATCAGAAGCCAAGAAATATACAATCACAACACACACTTTTCCCAAAGACAGCCTTTTGCCAAACATTTGTTCCAGAAGTTTATTCTCAGGACTGCAAAAGTACAAACCATTTTCCCAAAGTCTTCGTCTGAAAGAAAAGGCTGTAACTTTCTTTTCAGGCAGCTAAATATCTATTGCTTTATCTGAGCACCCAGATATGTAGCATGACCTCTAAATAGTGAAATCAAATAACTGAAGATAAACACATTCCCTCAGCCAAGGATTCAGATGCAGTTGTCATATCTTCCATTTTTTTACTTGAGCCAACAAATGCTATTTTAGGCTTCCCTGGAGTAAGCCTATATAAATTAGTTCTAACCTCCTCAGACACTCACCCATACACTAGATCGTACAAATTGGATGAGATCATACGAGATAGATAGAAAACAATAACTTTTTTTCTCCAAGATTACCTCTTAGTATATCACACTTTCACATAAAAGGAAATGCTACCAGAAAAGATGCTGAAGTAGCTCACAAAACAGACCTAACTACCACCTAATTAAATTTTCACTTGTTTTTTCTCAGTAAAAGACTGTATCTGCCTTTGGGGACACATACAGGTCACAAAAACCTTAAAATTTAACACCTTAAAGGTACTTGACAAATACATACATAAGTGTGTATTTACATATATGTATGTGTGTATATGTATATATACATACATACCATCATGGACATTTGATTTTCATACATAAAGATAAATGATAATATAATTATTGCTTAGTTTTCCTAAACCTGAAACTAAACTAAATATATAGCTAAAGCAATTGACCTGCATTAATCTGATTACAGATAAGGCAACTGCAGTTTAGTCACAGTTGATAATTAGTTTGAACGAAACAAAAGTTCAATATCCAGGAACTATGTATGAAAAGTTAGAGCTATATTTTCCCTAAGTACATCTGTTATATTTTCCTAAGCAAATGTTATCAGCTACATTGTAATATAGCCTCTTGATGTGATGAGATCCTTATACAGTCCCTCACACTCATCTTTCAAATTTACTTTTCTGAATAACTTAAGAGCATCAGCAAGTTATGTCACCGTAATATCTGCTTCTTCCTCCAGATTGTTTTGAGTCTCTGGAGCAATGAACTCTAACACAGATCCCTGTGGGCATTCACTATCAACCTCCTTCCAATGATAATGCAAAAATTATGGCCACAAATCAGTACAACATAAACATTATATATATATATGATATACAATATAAACATTATAAACAATAGAATTCACCTAATCTAATTTCATATGTTTAAAAATTTGGTATCAAGACAAAGGATGTTGTGAAGAGTTCTCAACAGCCTATTAAGGGAAAAGGGCACCTTCAAAGGGGTGATTCATCTCTTCTTAAGACAGCTGTCTTAGTTATACATGCTACTATAGGTAGGATCTCTCTCTTCACTGACTATAGAAGGACTCTAGACAGGTGTATTCTATACATCCACATTTTAGACGGAACAAGTTAGGGTCTCTGCACTATTAAAAGTAAGTATTAGTATTTATTATTACCATCACTTTTTTGCTGACAAACACCTTTTAAATATTAAAGAATAATTTTTTATGAGAATAAACGTGCATTAAAAGTGCATTGTGTGCTCAAAACTGTTATTTACTTGTCAGATGAAAGAGAAATTTTAAAGTTTGATTCATGTTAAGTACAAAAAAACACAAACCTGCTTCAAAAGTGGAGACAATTACTGGAGAACTAGCCTTGCCTTCAACGGGTGCAGCATTAACATCTCCCGTAAAGGCAATGATTATTACAGAATACCTTGTAAATGCTTTTAAATCAGAAATTTCTAAGGCTTTACCCTCATCATTTGTCTTCAGAAATTGAGCTTTATAATTGTCATTATCTACCTGTAAAATAAGCAAATACAAAAGCATTGCAAGACATCAAACAGCCAAGACCAGAATCTTATTATTTGAACACTATACATAACTTATACATAACTTCCCACTTTTCAATGAATTTACCTAAGAAGATACACAAGAAGTCTCTACCTAACAAGACCAGAAAGATTCACAGAGGAATAAACTCCCACCCCACCCATTTACTGCCTCTTTTGTACTTCATGTAATACATGATTAAGGATATGAGCTGTTTTCTGGGCGCTATCTTCCACCAAGCAAGTGAGAACTAGAGACTATGCCGCGGAGCTGTAGCGGTCTGAAATGGGAATTCATCTAGGCAGAGATTCAAAACATGAGCAGCTACATAGCAGCAAATGGTCTGAAGCACAAAAATGAAAAGAAAATTGAGTAGGAATTTCTAACGTGATGTCACTGCAGAGACAGCAGTTCCTGCTTGGATATATAAACAGCAGCACTATTTCTAAGACAGTGGGGAGGAAGTACTTATTTTACTAGAAAAGCTGAAAAGCAGAAATAATTGAGGTTCAATCTAGAAAAGAGGCAATGGTGGAAGACATAATAATAGCTTCAACATGTAAAAAGGTATCTTACTAAATTGAAGATAATCCATTGTTCATGGTGTTCATGCAAATGCAAATAGGAATGGTCTTCGCACCAAAATAGATTTGGATTAAACATGACAAAAGCTGTAGCTATATAACTAAATACATAACTAAAAATATATCTACAAGGTTAGTTATAACCTAGAACAACCTATCTAGGGATGTGGAGGAATTTTCAGCACCGGATATTTTCAAGAACAGGCTAGAGAATCATCTGTCAGGAAGACAGGTATGCTGGTTTCTGTGTCAGAGCAAGGGTATGGACCAGACGACTTCCTGAGATCCCTATCATTCTTACATCTCAAATAATCTGTAGTTCTGTAGAAAAATCTACAGAGTTGGCCTTTACATCCAATAAATCACTTCCGACATTAGCTTAAAAAAGGACAAAAAGGGAAAACAGGAGCTTTTCTAGGTTATGATCAGGCAGCATTTTACAACACTGTTTTTATGTCTGCTCCCACTACTTTGGTTAATGATGTTTTCATTATTGTTTCTTCACTGTGTAATTTGAAAAGAGGATTAGGTAGCTGTTCAGTAGTTTTCCCACTGGATGAAATCTATATTAAATACAGCTGCTAAAACATCAGAATAGTTCAAGCATACCTTTTATTTGACAGATATGCATCTGTCCCCACTGAGAATTAACCTGAACTAAACTTTCTGATGGACTAAACAGACACTCATTTCCTGGGATGGCCATCAAGAGCTGAAATACTTCTTCCTATCTGACTATCAAAAACATGGCTTATAAATATTCATACAAAAGCTAAAATATGATCACAACCCTGCATCTTTAAATTTATTTATATGCATTTTTATGGTTCAGTTTCATCTCCATTACTCATTTTCAGTAATATTTTATTCATGTCTACTCTTAATTATAGTAGGCAAGGAGATAAACTAAAATATGACTTGAGGGAATAATAATGGCAGAGTACTTTTTAGTTTTTCTGACCTTTGTAATTGTAAGAAACATCCTAGCAATTTAAATAGAGCACTAATACATTCACTAATGGATACTAATTACTGCCATTTACAAATAAAGATGTGACAGAGAAGGAATCTGAAGTTATTCTGTTCTGTGAGCCTATTTTCATAAATCCTTAAAGATACTCAGTTAAGAACTAAAATGACTAAAGTTGCATATACAGAATGTTTGCGGAATTCGGAGTATTCATACAAATCTTCGCACAGGGACAAAATATACACTCAATTTTTCACTGCAAAAAGATTGTGACAGTTTTACTGGCCTTTAAGTAAAAATAGATTTGTATACTAAGACAATTTTCTACAGAACTGACGCTGGTATTTACCGAACATTAGAAATACAACATCTGATTACAAGGAATCCCTAAATGTAAAGCTAGATACTTGAAATGTATTTGGAAAAAAAAAAAAAGAAAAAAAATGCATAACAGCAATAACAAAGCCCTCTAGATAAAGAATTTAAAACAGGTTTTAAAATTCATTTTGAATGCTTACAGGTTCATATAAAAATTCAGTAATCCATCTTACTTTAGGAATATTATAATAACATATTAATAAGGAATTTATAACTTTCTCATAGTGTAGAATCAGATGACATCCTGTTGATAATTTAGGGATTACCAGACAGAGAGGAAATTGCTTAAGTAGAAATTGATGAAATACTGCACACAAAAAATAAGCTTTGAAAATTTTATTTGAAAGTTTTGTCAAAAGTATGAAAAAAAATCACTTTCTATTAATGCACTATAATGATGTTTAGTAAAAAGTGATAGGAAATTTTCACAAGTAAAAAAGTCTTCTCTAATTTTCGTAAAGGAGGAATACACATTGCTTTCTCGTTTCCAGTGACCTACCCAAGATTCCAACAGGACAAGGAATAGTTCCTTTCCTGTTAGTATCTCCCTTAGTATTGTACATCCTTCCTTCTCTCATACATACAATGTGATGAGTATGTTCAGAATTGTACAGACTGCACTGTACATTTTGTAGAATGTATTTAGAGGAAGTGAAAATGGCAGGAGCGCACATTACTTTCTTGTAACTTTATTGTGGAGCTTGAAATATTTGGTATATTTTTTATTGATCTCCTCCTTAAAAATTTTGATTGCAAAAAATCTAGGCATTAATATTTTAGCATGTCTTATAACTTGTGTAGAAACATTGAAAATACATACATAAAAGATTTATCCTCTCCTCAGGATATAAAGTCTTGAAATAATTCTAAGTATCCTTTCAATTTTTTCCCATTACCTAATAGACTGATTCAGAATTTTTGAAGCTGCAAGCAGCAACTTTTCCTAGGTAAAGTCTGGTGAAGAGCTTCCCATTTTCACTGATAGCCCAATCTCTGTAATTCCTGGATGAACAGGGAACCTACATCCTACTTAAAAAAAAATTCTCATGTGCACAGACTTAAGAAACAGTTTCCTATCTTGCCACAGGGCAGGAAGTGACTTGGGGTTTATTTAGGGTTCTTTTAAGCAGCATTTTAAGAAGTAGTAAATGAGATGAAAAGAGGAAGACCTCTAGAGCTTATCTATTGTGTCAAACTTTTTCTTGCTTACGGTGATCAAGGACAAAGAAGTTATTATTGCTATGCTAACAAGACATAGCTAATTTAATGGATAGAGAACCAAGTGGAAAGTGGGAAATCTAGTTTGAGTTTAAATTTTGCCCTCTGATGTGCTCTGTAACTTTGTAAAGTCACTTCCTTTTGCGAGCCTCTCCATCCTCATTTTTAAAATTCAGACAATGACAATTTTACTCCTTCGAAGAAAAAAATATTTTGCAATTATTATTGTTATTGGTAAACAGCATCACTATTGTTGGAAGGAGGTACATCCACCTCCACAAAGCTTAGTTACTGTTTTCCTGAATAAATTAATAGCTATACTCCTTTTCTGAAAGACCTCTTAGTAGTACAGATTCTTTAACAGTAAATAATTAAGTTATTTTCTGTTAAGAATTTATCAAATACATTTACTTGTTACATGCAGAATCATCAGTTTAAGTCATTTTAAGCCATCAGTTTAAGCCATTTTAGTCATATGGCTGTTTATATCTGTTCTGCAATTTCTATAAAACAATCTGCTGTGGTTTTTATATCACCAAAAATCTGTACTATTATATCAACAATAAAACAGAGCTGCCTTACTGAGGTTATATCTATGAGGTAGCATGTCGGTCCAGTAACGATGACAGGTTCAGTCCAGCTGATATTAATACTGTGAGGAGACGTAGCTAATACAGCCACATTTTCTGGAGGACCATCTGGAGCTACGGAAAAAAATATGTAAGTGAATCACAGCCAAAGCAGTTCACAACAAATAACATGGTATTTTTAGTGGCCAGTAGAGATTATTTTTCAATTTGAAAACAAAACTTTTTCATGCATTTACCATTATACACCGTTTAAAGAATTATAACAATTTTTAGTTCTCACTTACAAAGCACATAGTGAGCTTTAGAAATACATCTTTCATTACAACTACCATAACTTTCATAGAGGATGTGTACACATTGCCTACAATTTCACTGTAAATTGAATTAATAAGTCTTTTAATTACAAATTAGTTACACGTATTTTACACGACACAAGTAAAATATACACACACCTATTTGCACAAACAGACATGTCATATATAGGCGATATGGGAGACAGTATATAACCAATGCATCATGCAAAGCACAATAAAGAATGAAAACATAGTCTGCACGTTGGAAATAATTTCCAACTATGTTGGAAAGTACTAGTACAAATACTCTTTTATAGAGAAAATATTTTTTTTCTAGGCTTTGTTTCCACTTATACTTAACATGTTATGAAACTCTAGAAAACACACAAAAAATTCTAGAAGCTGTCAGAAGACAAGAACGATCACTATTAAGAAATTACGTTTTCCTAATATTTCCTTTTATCAAGGTGATATGTGAAATAACCTAGTTATTTCCTATTCTAAGACACTGGAAAATCCTGAAATCGTATGACAACACAGCAAGTTACAGTAAGTGGTATTGCTCTTTAATAATGGCCATAGTAAATTTGGGGAAAACAAAATTTGGAATAGAAAAGAGAATAGATTTGTACATAATGCCTGAACTTGGCTCCATAATGCCTTTTTTGTCTACTACAAAAAGGACAACCGTGAGTGCTTAATAAATATCAGTGAACAGCCTGTTATAAGAATATGATACAGGTGATCATATCATCCTACTTAGAAGTGACAGTCTCTTTACTCAGATACAATTTATGGATGAACATGTACTTTTTCACCATTAATCATTAGATCAGAGAGCTTTAGCTCTCTCCCTAAACATCAGCAAGTACAGTATATGCTCTACCACATCTTGTGACATGGTTGCAACTGCACAGCCCCCTCTGCGCTCTAATGTAGATCAGATTCACCATAATCAATGCTACTGATAGGAGGGAAACTGGAATGTATACAAGGTTACTTTGTTTAGGCAGAAAATGAGTTATGAAAAGAAAAAATGACACTGGAGAATGTATGCAACTACCGAAATTATGAGTGAAAGATTCATGAGGGGCGATTTTAACATTTTACACCATGAAGGATGGGTCTGCATGGTTGCAGGATAAAAATGAGAAGATTTGGGGATAGAGAAGGGGCTGTAGAGAGTTTGGGATATAGGAGGTAGATTGAGCTGCTGGGATTAGCAGGAATATATTTGACTTTGTAGGGAGCATCAGCTTCAACCACTGGAAGCAGTCCCCCCAAATACTGAATAGCACGGAAAAACTAATTGAAAACTGTAACTGAGTGAAATATGAAAGCACATGAGGGGCTGTGAAAGGAAGGGACTGCCCAGAGAAGGCTGTTTGTGGAGTGGGGAGCTAGCACAGACACAGCAAAATACAAAGGCAAGTATGTTCCCCTAAAGACTGGAATTAGTGCAAATTAAACTTATTTTATAGGTTAATCTATATCAGACTTCTTGTTCAACCAGTGTTTTTTAATGTAAAAAATGCTTTCAGTAACTAAGGCATTGGGGTTACCTGTATCTCCAATCAAAATTTCTGAAAAGTGTAAAACAGTATATAACTTTGGTTTTCAAGCCTTCGTTTCCAAATCCTAAAATTGTGAGATTGGGAAGACAATTGTCCACTACTTTTTAATAGAATTAATGGAGACATTTAATTTCCTAAAATTTGTTCAGAAGCCAACCTAAGTTTATTCATTATGCTGTGAAATTGAAAGCATAATCTAATCTACAGATTATCCAGCTGAAAGTTATCCGATTACCAGATGCAGTTTCTATCTGATATATATTTTCAGATCTCCACAATGAAATTCTGAGTATACTATACTGAAGATACTTATCTGAAATACATCTGAACATTAACACTTGCTTTATTTTCATCATTATAAGTTCAATATCAGACTTTAACTGAATGACACAAAAAATTAGGAATAATTTCTGAAATAACCTGCATAATTCAAAAGAGAGCTGGAAAATGAAATGTGTCTAAAATGCCTGATGTCTTACAAAACAATTTCTTTTTAAAAACTGTTTTTACCTCAGTGAGTAACTGCCACATTCTGATTTAGGTTTATTTGTGAAATGAGTCCAGTCAATATGAGGCCATGATATCACTATACCCTCTCTCTAATAAATCACAGCAATTTACTCAGTAGAAACGACCTAGTCTTATTCTCTCATTCCCCCATAATCCAATCACTTCCTCTCATAAGCACTTTTCTCCTGGTTTTCACAATAATGCATTTTCTGTAACTAATAACCATCATTTCCTGATTATCATGCTTCTATCCTTGCACAGGAATGTGGGTCTTATGGAGGTCAGGGTCATCTTTCCCATCCATCTGTGTCCTGATGCTAAGGCAGCAGTTAAGTGTGTTAGCTGGAAGGTAAGTCTGGATAGCCCATCATTTAGCATAATCCTCAAAAATAAGACTGAATATTCCAGCCTTCTAACGGAAATTCATGCTTGCCAGTTTGGTTAAGATCAGCCCTTTTTAGTTTCTGCCAGCAAAAATACAGCATTAGGCTCAGTTATTTCATTTTATAGTCATCTAGGCTACTTCCAGCTATATTTAAACATATATATCTTATACTGGGTCATATTTACCCTCCAATATTTAGCTCCGAGAGAACAAAAGGAACAAATAAAATCATGTTTTCTCAGGTAAAATCTCCCAGAAGAAAGGGCATAAAGCCAGACATGCAATATTATGTCTTTTCATCATACAGAAGCATTTATTTAAGTACACCAAGCAACTGGCTAACAGCAGGTATTGGGAAAGAAGGTGCTGAAAAGAGAAGCAGAACTGTCTGCCCCCTGCATCTATGTCCTAGTCTTATGGGATGTTCCAACATCTGGGATTTTTCTTCGTATCCTGGTATATCCTGGCACTAGGAGACTTGGCAGTTTACCAAAAAACACTGCCTTGTGTAACTGTAAAAGATTCAAAATGAGGTCAGTGATCTCACTGCCATTCCTTTTCCACCTAACACTGACCCTCTAGGTGATTTTTTTTTTAGAAATCATGAGTTGGGCCAATCTTATTCTCCTTATCAATGTAGAAGTGAAATCAGTGTAGGTGCAGGTGTAAGAGAATAAAATTTCCGTAGCTATGGAAAACATACTTCACTGTCGCACAGCACCGTGATCTCCTATACTGGTAACTATGTAAATCTAGGTCATGCTGAAAATACTTCATCTTGCAAAGTAGATTTGGCTTTTGGATAATCCATCAGCTAAGCAATAACAGTGCCATCAAACTATTTTATGAGACAGTAGGACAATTCCTGGGAGAATAATCTGCAAGACAGAAGGCTGATTGGTTTATCTGCATATGAGAACTGGACTGTACTGAATAACCTATAACCTGTTTCACTGAGTAACACTATAACCTCTTCCAGTACAGAGCACAGCCATTTTTTTTTGTGCATGCAAATGCGTTAAAGAACCTTAAAAATAATTTCTATAGTCTTAGAAGCTAGACGAGTAAAATTTAACTTTGCAGCGAACAACTGGAATGATGGTAACATTAACTAACATCCTCACCTTAGTCACTGAATATTCAGAATTTATTAGGTATTGCTGCTTTACAGCAAACATGCAAATATTCAGCACTTGTAAATGAAAAGAATATTTAGGGAGTTTTTAATGTTTTTTGTTTGTTTGTTTTGTTAAAGTTTCATATGTGTATATTCTAAGAACTGAGTGTAGTAGTTTTCAGCTTAAATGTAACTACCTGAATATATTAACTGTAGCATTTTCTTCAGGCTGGAGAAAAACAAAAATTCCTGAGAACCCAATTATTTCTGAAGAAAATGATTTTAGTATTATTTCATAACCAAGGTAATTTTATTTTTGGCAGAAGCAGTGTCTTACAGAGGCATTTCTTGAAAATCAGAGACAGCGGCTAACTCCTGCCCTCAAATCTGCAAACACAGCTCCCATTGATTTTATGGGCTAAGTACTCAGGCTGTTTTACATAGCAGCTAAACACCCTTAAGCCCTAACAGACCATGTATATTGGCTGTGTACCAGCAGGCTAATCCAGAGGATGCTTGGCCCAGTCCACCAGGGAAAGGAGAGGGGGATCCACACCTGTTTGTTGGATACAGTTTACAAAGCTGCCTGGAGTGCCAGATCAATTTTTGTGCATCCTGAGCTTCTCATCTCCGCTACAGGCAGTAACCTTTGCAAAAGAGAGAGGGGAACTAAGATTTTTTAATTCTATTTAATAATATTTTTAAAGACCAGTCTGTGGGACATACAAGGTCAGGTAGCTAGAGTCCGGCCTTTGCCAAAGATCAACCATTGCTCATGGTGTTCTTATACTGCTGAACTATGTTTCTGCAGCCAGCTGCCTAACCAGCTGTGACATGTCATATTCCTCTTTTTCCCTCCTCAGCTGATATCCTATGACCAGCTATGATATCTGGGATATTGCCCATGCTTCCTTGACTCCATTTCAGTGTTCCACACACAACTCCTCTCTCAGTGTGTCACTGATGTTCAGAGGGATTTCATTGCTGCCCTCTGCCCCTTCATTGCCCACCTTCTCCACCACAAAGGCCTGTGGCTTCACACATTTGGGCTGAGAAGAACTGGTGGCACATTTTTAACTTCTATTCCTCTATTGTTTTTTAAAATAGCTAATAGAGCATATAAGATCTACTGCTGAAGACGACAACGTGTAGGCACGGAAACAGTTTGGCCAGTCCCATACAACTTTTCTGCTTTTAATTTCCACCTCCTCAGTGGAACTGATAGGAAACTAGCTCTCTCTTAAATCAGGTTATCACTGCCCAGAAAGAAAATCATAAAAATCATCTTATCTTTATGTGATTTTATGTGTTTTAATTGTCTACCTCGTTGTCCAGTTTTAAGCTTTAGCATTCCTATACTCAGCAACAATTTTGGAAAAAAAAGCACTTGCATTTCTCAGCAGCTGAGACTTATCTATCCAACGGTAAGACATCTCCCCAGAGCTGCTGGCTTACACGTTGCATAACTTTTTTTTAGCTATTCTTGGACCACTGGGGTTGTATGTTTCTTGGAGATTTTTGATTTTTTTTTTTTACTTTCAATTAAAATATTGCATTAACTTATGGACAAAACAATCCCATAAAAAACACTGGACAGAGAAAGTAAGCACACCAGAGAATGACTCCATATTAGCTTATTCTAGACCTTTTCTGTCTCAAGCACCGCTTCTATATTTTACATGAAAGCTAGCTATTGTGATGTTCACCACCACAGTGTCCCAATCTCTTTGCCTTCTGGGGCTTACAATCTCTGCATTGCAGTTTCTCATCTGTAAATGGAGATGACAGTAGTTCCTTATCCACCAGAAAAACTGTGAGGTATTTAAGCATAGATGGACCTATTAATGTACACAGAACGCACAGAAACTACTATAATGAAAATTGTATAAAACCCTCCTGAATTCACATTGCATGATTGTAAAAACTTGCATGGAACAGAAAAAATATGGGGACCACTGAATAGTCCTTGGTACACAATCATTTAAGTCCTCAGCACCTCTGCTAAGATTGTCTATTTACTTTGGACGAGGAAATGAGTGAAAGATTTAGATACGGGTAAATCTCTGATTTAGATATGCCACTCATGGTGGTTCTCAGTTGTTCCACACAGTCCAAATGGCAGATCTCAGATGTGCTTTGACCTGATCTCAGATGTGCTTTGACCTAGGCTGGACGCAAAATGGTAGGAAAGGTTACTTGCCCATTGCCAACTGCCTAAATGCTTTGTTTCATGTCCCCTTCCTCAAATATCTCGTGATAACTTATGACTAACTCTCCTCTTACTTGCAAACTGAAATCCTCAACTAAGCAATGATACTGCTAGTATTTCTAGGTGATACATGACTGCTCTGATTTGCAATTTCTTTAGGTGGACAGGGTATTGAAAAGAAATCTTAATTCCTCAGCTGGAAGCTATGGTTCGCATTATACTGTCAGGAAAGTGCTACGACATATTTTTAATCAAAGAATAATAAAAAGTCTACTTTTCATTGATACATCCCCATATGTGAAGATGAACTGGAAATTGCATATCAACCCTGAGTAGCCAAAATTCACACTTACCAATTCTAGATGTGGACTAGGGCTGAGAAATGAAATTGCGGTTGTGTAAGCAGTAAATATAGGATAGCAACCAAAAGGCATTAAAATCTGAAGTAGTGTGAATTATGCGTATCTCCTATAGAATTATGATATTTTATACCTGAAGAGCTACAGTAAATCCTTATTAATTTCACCACTGTTACAGGTCTATGAAGAAATTACTTCTACCAGCTGTTCTTACTTATTTAGGTGGACATTACATTGTTATAGCAATATGACATATGACAAACATCCTTACTTACAGCCAGGAAGTGTTTGTGTAGAAATCCAAGGTGAAGAGCTGCCATAACCAACATTTGTACTGGCAGCAACAGCAAATCTGTACCATCTGTATTTTTTTAGTCCATAAACTGTCCCTTCTATCTGGTCATCCACAGCATTTTCATATAAATACTGATACATCTCGTATTCAATACATTCCTTAGTTTCCCAGTCACTGCAGTGGATAGACTGTAGCTGTGTGGTAATCCTGTAGTTCTGAAAGTAGCCAAGGATAGATTTCGGTGCTCTCCAATTCAAGGTCACACTTGTTGATTGTACATTGGAAAAACCAATATCCCTGGGAACACTGGGAACTACAAATTAAAACACTTTTAAAATTTGAAGTTCTCTTCATTTGAATAAAAACCAGTTTCCACTATAACCCATTTATCCAGTGTTTAAAAAATATTTTAAATAAGCATGTCTAAAGAGCAGGATTCATTTTCATATGGTCAATAAGGAATAATTCCATTGCTGTAAATCACACCATATATCTATAGTTGGCAAACATTTACTATAGCTTTTGAAATAAAGAAAAATAGTTTTAGGTGTGGCATGTAGGGGCAGCCTTGAGAGGTGTGACATTGCTGTTGCTACATTTGTGGCTATGTCTCAACTGGGGGAGGGAATATTAAGCAAAGTTATTTTTGGTCTATCCACTGCATCTTTTACTGCTGTTGCTAACTGGGATTCCTCACCTCTCACTTAGAAATACTCATTTGTCTCCCTCTCTCTCGGTAACATATGCAATCCTCAGGCAACACCCCAAGGTTTCATAAGTGTTCTGACTCACCTTCTGAATAGAAAGTTTCAATAAATATAATATGTTTGTGTATACTTATATAAATGTAGCTAAGTGTTTTGCAAACAGTTAAGTAAACAAGAAATCAAAGGAAAGAAAGCAAGAAGAGCTCAATAATATGGTAATACAAGGCAAAAAATAATTTCCCATAAATTTTATTTCCATGTATTTATACGCATATGTCTATGTGCATAAATGTGTGTGTGTCTCTTTGCATAATTTAAGTGTGCAATGCGTTTTTGTGTGTATACACAGATTTATATTCATGTGCATGGAGACAGAAGCAGTACGTGGATACACATACACATGTGTGCACATACACACATGCATACAGATATCCATATCCATATTAAGCCAATACTGTGCTTCCAGCTCTCACAGACTGGATGCAACATATGGTTTTGTACTAGATCACACAGTCATACAGCAAGCTAATATTATCTCTAAGAGTCTCTGTAAGATAATACTAATACTCTCTGTGGCAAAAACTGCAGAGAAATCAGCTCAGAAATCATTTTGTGCACTTAACTTTAAAGAGTGCTTCTGGATCTTTGGGGGAAGAAGTATCACTGGTAAAAAGAAACCACATGATACATCCTTAAACCGAAACTGAAGAAGCCCCACGGCTGACGTAAAAAATAAAAGGATCCCAGGCCAGCGTGTCTGGGAAAGAAAAAAAAAAAAAGTCTTCCTTTTTTTTTTTTTTGCAGCCTTATGGGAATATCTGATCTCTTCTTTCATCTGCAACAATTTGTTTATAAAACATCATCATAATATAACAAGCAGAAGTCTATCCACTAAACATTAATACTTAACAGGATGGAGACACGTATGCAGTGTCAAACCAAGGTGTGAGGATGAAAAGCTTGAGAAAAAGGCACACAAACCTCTCACTTCCAATGAGCCCACAGGAGCTGGAGCTGAAGCTGGCAGCACAGGGCTCAGACACAGGAACTGTGGGCACTACCTCCCTCCTCCCGCTCTGCTCTCACACATGAGCCCACAACATCAGAGCGTACACGAGCCCTGCATGCTCCCACCCTGGCACACACTAGGCAGACACATAAGAGAAGCTTACAGTCTAAGAAAAGACCCTTCTCTAAAGCCAGCTTTCGTCGTAATATCCCCTGATAACAAAATTAAAGCTATTTTGCTCTATTGTTATTCACAGGAAGAGAAGTAGTAAATTTAAACACATCAGGCAGTACCTTCTTGCTTGGTTAGAGTTTTTAAAATGTAACACCCAATTCGTTCACTACGAAAAAAAGCAGTGGGATATTTTCATAATAGTTCTATAAACTGTATTTGCTACATATGGTAACTACAGAAAGGGGCTTAGTTTGACCCTTAGTTAATGGAAAATAAAGGCGGAGAAATGTTCAATGACTAACATGAAAATTTTGTATGCTTCTTTAAAAAGCCCTGTCCTCTATTAGAATATAGGTTATTGATATTAGTTAAGACACTGCAAAGAGTATGTCTGACATACAGTTATGATAAATATAGTTACGATAAAACTTAGGTTAGCATGGGTAAAATCATTTGAGTGAAATAAAAGTTACCACCTGGTCTCACTATGAACTTGAATTAAAATAAAGTCTTCTCAGGACTCAGTATTATCTATATCAAGAATTAAAAAATTAAGAGTCCGCAGCTCCAAAGACATCAGATTAGATCAAAAATGAAGAGAACTTAACAAAATTCAAAACTCCTCCTCCTCAGCCAAAGGGGATTACTCTTTTTTGATAAGGCGTATGACCTTTCCTTCCCAGGCACATGATTCTATGAACTTTTGCTGTGATAAGAACACCAAGCATTAGAAGGTTTGTAATAAAAGTGTGAAACTATGCAACATGAGGATTGAAACAACTGGCTGTAATTTAAGTATACCCATTACTAACTTCCATCTGCTGAATACTGATTAATGTACTATACTCTGATTTAAATGAAAGTCTGGATTAAATGCTGATAAAGCACCCTACAGGAGGTCTACAGATTCCTGACTTAGGATAGGGGAAAAGACCAACATATTCTGATGCTCCCTCATCTCAGGCTTTTTAAGCAAAGCACATCTTAAAAAGTATCATTTATCCAGAAAACATTACCATAATTAAAGGTACAGACAGAAAAGAACCACAGAAATCTGTCCGAATTAACAAAGAGAACATTCAGAAACAAGGGCTTGTAATAACAAAGTAAACTGTAACTGGTTGCTTGCTGGGTTCCAAGAAGAAAGTGGAAATATATCCCTTTGCCCTCTCAAATGCACAACTGGTAGAGCAGTGGCTGGCACAACTGCAATCTCTGTACACCCATAACAAGACAGAGTAAAGAGGTCAGTCAAGGCAGAAAGAGCGTTGCCCATGTTCTAGCCAGCACAGTGGACTTTCCTGCTAGAGAAGAGTACGCTGTTCCACCAGTTTTGACATGGATGATGGTAGAAAAACAGAATTGAGAGCTAATAGTGCTGCAGTAATGACGGAAAAGACTCTTGGTCATTACACAGAACCAAAAATTATATCAGGAAAAATAACAGTGGTGTGATTTGTGTGGTTTCACACAGACAACTACAGCCTAATAAAGTTAGCCTCCTTGGGCTCTGCTTATATTTGGTGGAAAGAGATAAACTCCCTCTATGTGACTCAGGGAAGGAATTGAGGGCAGAAACATTCAAAAGCTTTTATTTCTGTTTTATGTCATCATTTTTCCAGTTCACTAAGACCCATATGGCAAAATATGTCTAATTTCTAACCTATGAAAGAAAGGGTCAGTCAGTAGAAGGCACAGGAAAACTTTCTGTATCAGTGCCTTGACAGGTGATTAAAGTGGGATCAGAGCCTTAAACATTAGTCAGTTTAAAATCTAGACCATTTCATCTCATTAGTTATACAGACACATCAGATATAAATGTAATTCTGCATTAGAACAAATGAAAAGATGTGATCTGTGTGCTGAGTAAATCAAAGACGTGGGCCCTCTGAGGCCCACAGTGAGGAGCAGTGACACCCAGTGGTGCTGTGTCTCTTGCACTTGATGACTGCGTGTTCAACGAGACAATTTCAAGACAACTATGATATTGGGTTACAGATACAAAGAGGATTACAATTACTCTAGCATGGAGAATCAGATTTCCATTCCTCGAGAATGACTAAAATTCCCCCAACCTTTTCTATTCACAGATGGTACTGATTTGAAGAAACCATTCCATGCTTCCTAGAGTAATCATGCAGCTTGTCTAAATTTTCTAAACATGACTCAACTATGATGAAGTGATCAGCATTCACATAAAAGCAATTCAAATCAAAAAACCACATTTTTGTGAATTACTCCTTCATATTAAACTGGAATTATAATAAAGAAAGACGTACGTATCTGCTC